ACAATAACTTTATTTATCGTCTATAGATCGTTTACATTCACATACAGCTACATTACACACTGCATGAAAGGCAATATTCATAATGGCATAATGGGGCACTTTAATATAGGTTTGGGAGCATTTTTATGATCAGTGTTTACACTTTTATTTATTTCTTATTTATTTCTTACATCTCCATGCTGACCATCTCAAACCCTTTTTTGAGGAAATACAATATATTTCGTAAAGATCGCGTACCTTTTTGCACAGGACCAGCTGATGATCGAAAAGGAAGAAGACTCTCTGCTGACTCCTGCCATAAGGCTGATAGATCCACGACATCTCACCCGTGTAGATCAGCTCTGAACTTCTGTCCAGAATATCATCACCCTAATGTGAACAAATTAGTCTGGAGTCAAGGCAGACGAACTAGGATTGGCAGCAGCCTAAAGAAGATTTTATTAATGAAATATTTGTGACCGTGGAGAACAAAACCAGTCATAAGGGTCAATTTTTTTTTGTATAAATTGAGATTTATACATCATCTGAAAGCTGAATAAATAAGCTTTCCATTGATGTAAGGTTTGTTAGCACAATATTTGGCTGAGATACAACTATTTGAAAATCTGGAATCTGAGGGTGCAAAAAAAATCTAAATATTGAGAAAATCATCTTTAAAGTTGTCCAAATGAAGTTCTTAGAAATGCATATTACTAATCAAAAATAATTTTTTGATATATTTACGGTAGGAAATTTTATAAATATCTTCATGAAACATGAGCTTTCCTTAATATCCTAATGATTTTTGGCATAAAAGAAAAATCAATAATTTTGACCCATACAAGGTTTTTTTGGCTATTGCTACAAGTATACCCCAGCGACTTAAGACTGGTTTTGTGCTCCAGGGTCACATTTTAAGAATTCAGCTTTTAAAGGAATAAAACCATTATTTAAAAGCTGAATTATTAAACAAACAAAAATAATTCAGGCTGCTAACAAATATGAGGCACGATGTGGAGGACTCGAGAATAAATGCCTGTCTAAAGATCTCTCTTGCACTTTGTTCATGTCCAGATGTACAATGACATCCGAGTACAAAGTGTGTGTGACTGAATGTGAGCCATGAACTGTACATGACTTCATGAAATCCACAAATATTATTCAAACACACCTCCCAGTCCAGCACTGAGGCCTGCCACTGAGCGATCTTGTCAATGTTCTCCAGTCTTCTTTTGCGCTCATTGATTTGTTGTGTGACGTTCCTCATGACAGCGAGCGCTGCTGCCACATAACGGTAATCACTGTGAGAAAAAAACACCCAGAGACTATAATTAAATACATAAAATGTGGTCACAATTATAGACAAACACAATCTAACTAATACATTATGCTTTCAAAATTTTATTTCAGTGTGTGATCAATTGACAAGTGAACCTCTGTGTATCAACTCAATGTTAATATTTTCACTATTAGGAGATGAGACTGTAAGTGAATGTATTTATTTATTGGCAAAGGGTTTTTTGGCAAAAATGCACAATGTTTTGTTGAGAGGAAAAAATGATGGGTGGAGGTTTTGCTGCTACAAAAGAACCTACAGTTACTACATTCAAGGGTTCACTTACTTTGTATTCAATATATTTAATAATAAAATGTGTGAAAAGTACAACGTGACTGTGTCATTAGTGTAGTTAGATTGCCTTTGTCTTTAATTGTGAGTTAAATTTAGAGCACATTTTATGAGCAACCATTGCTGAAATCTAATTATTTTCAAAGGGTTCACAAACTTATTATCGCCATCGTGTATATATATATATATATATAATATATATATATATCTTACTGCCTACAGATATCTGTTTGCTTCTGTTTCTGTAACATTCTGCTTCAGTCTATACATTAGCTTCAGATCTCTAGACCGGGGGTGTCCAAACTTGGCCCTGGAGGGCCAGTGTCCTGCAGAGTTTAGCTCCAACCCTAATCAAACACCAATAATCAACCCTAATCTTCCAGGCAGATGTATTGAGGCAAGTTGGAGCTAAACTCTTACTTGTGTTCAGCACAAGAAAGAAACTCATTCAGGTTTAAAACTACTTAAGAGTGAGTAAATGATAACAGAATTTTAATTTTTGCAGAATTTTTGCAGCAGTTTTCAGCAGTTTGGACTTGAATAAAAGAGAGAAAACCTGCACTTAAGCTTTTCACGGGCATTTTGTTTTCATAGTTAGACAGATTTCGTGAGGTATCATTATAGGATTGTCTAGCAATATACTGATAATCGCAGAATTGCTGTATCGTGATATGATCGGTATCGTTAGCCATGCATCGTATCGTATCGCATCGTGAGGAACCCTGTGATTCCCACCCCTACTAGACAGTGTTTTTTGTGGTTTTTGCATGTGTTTGGGTGTGTTACCTATGATCCTGTCCTGTGTACTTCAGTAACTCGGCCAGCTGTAGTGGATATTTGCAGATCTTCTGCACAGGGGTGAGGAGGAAGCCATCAATTGCGATGTCAATCATCTGCTGGAGGAGGCGACAGGCTTCAAAAAAGTGCTGATAGCGGCCGTCTTTCATCAGCTTAGAGAGCTCCATGCAGGCATCCAGGTGGTTGTTGCAGTACTCTGAATAGATCCAGAAACCGTCTTGCTGTAAGGCAGACAGTCATTAAAGTCAGAACTGAAGCAAACTTGAAACATGCATTTCATTTTAAGGTTTTCAGGAATCAGTTTAAAAGTTTGAATAGCTAATACATGTCAGTACCCAACCATTATGGACTGTCTTGAAATTTTCTAGGTGTATTATGAAGGAGCTTGTCGGTACAGCTAAAAATATCTATAATTTGAAATAAGCAGTAGATGATGTTAATGCCAAGTCATAAGGCAATGTACTCACATGTTCCAGAAAACATGGACCAATTTCACTAAGATGGGGTTCCTCAATGTTGTACTGTTTCTCCAAATCCCGCACAAATCCCATTTGAAATCTGTAGATATCCTCGATGTTTCCAAAAATCACTTTTAGCTGGTCGTCATTGAACATGTCAATCCTCTTTCGACACTGCCTCAAGTAGCCCTACAGAGAGAAACTCCTTCAGTTTAGTATGCTGCAAGCGATGTCCACCACAGACCAACAGTTTTCTGAAACTCATTCTTCTTTAGACACTGTGCACTGCATGACTGCAACATGTCAAATAACAGCATGTAAGTAATCTGCATGATTCATTTTGATTCCAGACTTTTCTTAACAAAGGAAATCTAGTCCCCCCTTGAAAGTCCTTTCCACTTAACATGCAACCTTCAAAAAGTTCATGAAAACATTGCAAAATAAATCTTTGAGCAATTTAGTCCAAGAAGTCTGAAGAGACACAGTCACTTTATATGATAAACTGATTTCATTTAAATTACTTTTCACATAAATGGTGCAGCAAACTCCAACATGATTTTTAAGACAGATCTGTACTCTTGACCCTATCCCGAAAGTTGTTCTTAAGGAGTGTTTGCCATCAATAAGTCCCCTCATATTGAACATTGTGAACACCTCCCTTACTACTGGTATTGTTCCGGAAGCCCTTAAGGTTGCAGCTATTACACCAGTCCTTAAAAAGCCTGGATGTGGTAAGTTTGATCTATAAAATTACAGGTATTTCAAATCTGTCCTTTCTCGTTGCGACACAACTTAATTGACACACTTGTTATTCAACAAGTTTTTTGAGCCTTTCCAATCTGGGTTTAGAAAGGGACACAATACAGAGACTGCCTTGGTTCGCATTATGAATGACCTGCTTGTCTCAGCTGACTCTGGACCCTCTACCATCTTGGTGTTGTTAGATCTGAGTGCAGCATTTGGCACAGTGTGCCACTCCATTCTGCTTAACAGACATGAGAGTTGGCTTGGTATCTCTGCTACTGTGCTTAAATGCTTACATTTTTAAATCCTACCTTACTGATTATTCCCAGTTTGTTGTTTTAGGAAACAATCAAATCGGACATTGGACAGGTCTGTCACGGTGTTCCTCAGGGATCTATTTTGGGCCCTTAATTATTTCATTTATCATTTATATGCTTCCTTTGGCAAAATTATTAGGATTATTATTAATCATTATTAATCAGCTTTACATCAGTTCTAAGTCCAATATCAATGTCACCTCCAAAATTCTTTCTGAGTATGTGCAGGAAATAAAAATGTGGATGCATCATAATTTTCTAAAATTGAGCTGTTCAAAGACAGAGGTTCTTCTCATTGGTACACCAGCAGCTATTCATAAAGGTAGCAGTTTTAATTTGATTATGGACAATAGTACCACAGCTCCATTTACTCCATTTACTCGTAACCTCTGTGTGATTTTCGATGCCCATCTGACATTAGATTCACATATTAAGATTATCACAAAATCTGCATCACCTTAGAAACATTGCTAGAATTAGGCCTTTCCTCAGACTGCCTGATGCTGAAAGGCTTGTTCATGCATTTGTTACTTCCAGGATTGATTATTGTAATGTGTTATTTGTTGGTCTACCTGCTAATTCTATCAAATGGCTACAATATATCCAGAATTCAGCAGCACATGCTCACTTATATGCCATCTCGTCAGCATATCACTGGCATCCTTTTTAGTCTGCATTGGCTGCCTATTTAGTCACGCATTGATTTTAAAACTCTCACTTTAACTTACAAAGCTGTGCATGGAATGGCTCCTTCTTATATCTGTGACTTAGTTACCATTTCCTGCCTTCTCATTCTCTTCATTCTGCTGATTCTTTTACTCTTACTGTTAGAAATGCTCCCACATTGGACAGTTTTAAGTTGTTAAAAACCCATCTTTTAAAAAATGCCTACATAGATTGAGATGATTAGTATTTTATTGTATTGGTTAGCTGTACTGTATAGTATTGATTTATTGCTTTGTATTGTAACAGAATTTTTGTATTTTATTTGTTTTATTTTTAACCGTTTGTAGCGCTTTTGGTATAAGAAAAGCGCATTCTTAATAAAATGCATTATTATTATTATTATTATTATAAACATTTATAAACTCAAATTGAACAGCTCATCAAATATAGTAAGTGAAAGTTTAATCATGCTTGCTTTGGTATGTAAATACCAACCAATAAACCAGTTTATTCTGTGTGTCAAGCAGTTACAGTTTGTTTACCATATTTGATATATGGGTGATATATTAGGTTTTTTGCTCAACTGTCCCTTTAATCTCTCCACGGTACCAAGAGGCCACCAATCACATTCATCTGATACTGTCAGCACAGCAGTACCTCACATATGTCCTTCAGGTGTTTGATGTAGTGGCGCTCGGTGCTCATGATCTCGTTGATGACGTTGGCCCTCATCTGGTCTCGGTTCTGCAGTGGTTGGCCGATGCACAGGCAGCCGTTGCTTGGGTCGGTGTGTCCATTCTGCACCTCGCTGGCACCCTCAGCTGATTCTGCACGATCCTGATTAACCCAGAGCTAACAGGAAAAAGCAGAGAGACACATTATATCTCCAAGCTGTGAGTTTTGCAAAGCGGAACAGGTTTGAGCCCTAATTCTCACTAGGGTAAAGATAGACAGACAGTTGTTTGACTGAGAAGTCCATGCAATTAAAGATTCCATAGTTACAAAAATACTAAAAGTAATTTCTCTACAGAATTCCATTGGAGATAGTTGTTCTTTAACCATTTGAGTGGACACTTCTTATTCCAAATGTGTGATGAGCTGGAGTCTTGCTCTCATGTTTTTGGTAATAAGACAAAAAAATCTGCCTTTGATCTGGGTCTCAGCTTATGATTTCAAACAAGACTGCATTATGCTGTAAAGTGGCACAGGAGATGCTTCTGAAGTGGCATATATGCAGTTCAAATGGACTTTTCATGTTTTAATGGGGAACAGAAATCTAATGGTGGCATAAATCCATTTACATAGGAATCACAATTTGGGGAAACAAAGAATCACACTCTTGAATGTTACATGAGATAATGTCTTCAGGGTTGTTTCCATGGTGGGTCAGTCCCAGTGTATTTTGCGGTTTTATATCGTTTCCATTTTTTTTAAAGTAACTTTGATAATATTATAGAGTAAATTTGTTAGTTCAAAGTAAAAAAAAATACTGTGAAACAGTGGGAAAAAAAAGAAATATGTATGAAACTTGCTTTCATTTTATGTTTGTTAGGAAAACATGTTTTTGGTGTAAAATAAAAGGCAACGGAAAAAGATTTTTGTTTTAGGAAAACAATGGGAAACATTGAAAATAAATGAATTTTAAATGAATGGTGGAGAGAAAAAAACAAATAAAATAATTTTATCGATTTCTGATGCGTGTTTGAGTCTTGAGGGGTCTAGACTCGGCCTGGGTTTTGGAGGGTCTGGTCTTAACACATGGTGTCAAGTGAGGACATAAAAGTTCACTCTCAGTTATTCTCCATTCATAAGTCACCAACATGGCCTACCAAAACTCTTTCCCATCAGGAACATTTGCTTGAGCATCTAAAACCACGTTCCCTGATCAAACGACAGCTTAATACAGACCAACAGCTTTGAAATTCCATCTAGAATGATCATAGACACTCATTGCGAATACAAATCTAGGCATCTACAGAGATGCAAACACAAAATGGGATGCTGCCTGGCGAAAACGAGAAGATGGTTCTGAATGCAAAGCGGATACTACTACTAACATCTATTTCAACATTTGGAGGCTATTACAAAACGCATCCAAAGCAGCGCATGTAATGAAGAAACATACTGGATGCTCATCTATTTGAAAAGCTATGAAGCACACTAGGAGCGTGATTTCAGTTGGATGCTTTAAAATGCTTTGTGAGACGGCTGTGTTGACAAAATCAGCAGCACTTGATGAGATTTGAGGAGCTGGGAACGCACCTTTGCTGTTGTGTTATGGAACCTTGGAGTTGCTATAGGGTTGATATAGAAAACTGGTTTTGTGTAAGGTTGAGGAGGGTGGGGATCGACCTTTGGAAAGAATGACAGAAATACACTTGGTTTTAATGTACTCTCGCTGTGGAAGAATAGAAATGGAACAGTGAGATGGAAGTGGCTTGGCAACACTGATTCAACACGGACTGCGTTCTTTCCGAAGTCCAGACGGACGCATCTAATCAGGATCTGTGTCCAAGACCTCGTTTCTTCACCTGAGACCTTGAGCCGCATCACAATTCAATGATAAGATCTAGGAGCTTATTAGATGAGATGAGAGAGTTCATCAAAGAGGTGGCTGAAACGTACCCTCACGAAGCTGGCGGGGAACCAGCCCTCCTCGTCATCCATCTGACCCCACCACCAGTCTTTATTGGAGGCGTCCAGGACCTTGATGATGTCTCCCGCCTTGAACGCCAGCTCCCTCTCGGCCATCGTCACGTGATCCCATACTGCCTCTGCGCTGACCACCGAACCGCCGCTGATCAACTGTAGAAAAACACAATGAGCCTGATGGAGAAGCGGTCATGCTTTCACACACACACGACATGTTTCGAAGCACACTTCCATTGGTTACACATATGTCATTGGTCAGAAAACATCTGACTCGTGCCACAGGTTGAGGCAGTGCTGCTGCAGTATGTTGGGCTGATGCTCAAACAAACACAGCTCAATTTTTTAAAAGCTTTAGAGAGAGAATAATGCCCCTTAATTCTGGTCCTGCACTGTAAGAAAAGAATGGGTAAAAATGTGACCTACTGTAGGGCTACAACAGTTTTTCACCCTCAAAAGTATGGCTCTGTGCCTTATGTACCCTACAGAGATTAATTTTAGTCCCATATTTTCTTAAAGCTGCCTTATGCAGGATTTTCAGTCACTGTTTTAACACAACGGTCAAACTCGACCCCTCCGCATGGGTGGGCTCAACACAGCCAAAATACATGATATCAGTAGCCATGGGTGTTTTGCAAACACTTTTTCAAATATTGTGTTTATCATACATGAATGGCATTTTTTGTGCTATACTTATAATTAGATGACTGGCTGTAATTTGCAATTGAGTTAGGGATTATTTTTGTATGAGTTTAAACTTTTTTTTT